TGGGAGTGTTATCCTTTTCATGGATTGTACTGGTTGTACTGGTGTGGGTTGTGGGGTCACGTACTTTTTGATAAAGTTGTGTGGATATTCATTTTGTTGAGAGATGTTATATAAGTGGTCTCTTTCCTCTTTCTGGCATTCCAGGTTGCTGCAGTGTGTCTGAGCTCATTTGAATAAGGTCCTTACACAGCTCCTCTTGTGGGAGGTTGGGTTGTTACTTTGGTAATGTAGTACTTGATTAGTGTGGGTTGTTTTCTGATAGACTTGGGTTTCTAAGTTGCTGTAGTTTCCTCTCCTGATGAGAATATCCAGAAAGCGTAGTGTGCTGTTTTCTTCTTCCCTTGTGAATTTTATTCCTTTCAGGATATTGTTGATCATCTCATATCTCATGTCTTCTCTAGTTGTTCCTTTTTTATTATGATGAGGGTGTCATCTACATAATGGATCCATACTTTTGATTGTACCTGTGGGAGTGCTGTAGCTTCTAGATGCTGCAACATAGTCTCTGCTATGAGTCCTGAGGGTGGTGATCCCAAGGGTGTTCCTCTGATTTGTTGGTATATTTGTCCATCAAACTGAAAGTAGGTCGTGAGGCAAAGGGGTCTGCTTGCTTTAACTGGGCAGCTGGGATGACCTTCATACCTTGGATGTATATACTCTTGGCTTACATTCCCAACATTCTTCACCTTTAAGAACACTTTCTTCTCCCACCACGATGAGGAGCATAGCAGGACCTGAGGGGGCAGAATAATGATAATAATAATGACCATAAGAGTAATGAATATAATGATGGTGTGAATCATATCCAGATGTGTAATTTCTTTGCATTGATTGACTGATTGATTGATATGGCTTACCGGCTGCTCCATTTCTGAAGACTCCAAGCAGTTTATGAATATCAACATAAAATTAAAATATAGAAAATCAATAATGTGAATATAACAACAAGAAGACCTGATGTATCAGTTAGTGTTCCTGCAACACATTTGCACAGATAGAATAGATTATCTGTACCCTGGTTAATATTTCTGGGCAAAGTACCTTTGAATCATAGTAATCATTACATGCATACTTGAAATGTAGCCCATTGCTGATGTTTTAAGGATTGGAAATGCTTCCTAGTGGATTTTGAAGCAGCTTACTAATCCCTTCTCCTGAATTTTCTTTTTCAAAAAGCCAACTTATTTCTGTAAACGCTTTTAGCTGCACTTGCCAATTTTATGCTACTGTTCTTCGTAAATGCAGCCAGAGGTGTCTTCAGGGTATGGTCAAAAAATTCAAGATGCAGCCACAGTAGCACAACATACAAAAAGAACAGATGGTGCTTCAATTGCACTGCCATGCCCACCACCTTGCCTTTTTTGACCATACCCTGCAGACACCCCGGAGTGCAGCTTCTCCCATTCAGAAGAATTAGATCAATTTAATTTTACTGCTGTATTTCAGAGGCTCAGATCACCTACTCATATTCAAGGAAATGTAGTAGAAACTCATCTTTCAGAGTAGGATAAGTACAGAGAACATCACTGAACTCCTAGTATGAATGGATTTATCCCTTTTCACCAAGGGAAAGGCAACCTTTTTAGATCCAGAAAGCTGCATTTTATGCTTAGTTGGGAGTTGGAGGCACATGTACACATGTTCCCATGTACACATAAGATGCAACTTAACCCTCCTCAAGGGCAAAGGAAGGGGAATGAGGCTTTAGCTGCCCTCAGTAACCAAGTTAACATTCCTGCTTCCTGATGGAGAGTAAAGAGAACTAAAAATCTTGAGCAAAATTGCAGAGGGTGTGTATGCTCCCTCATTTCACTTCCCGGTGATCCTGCTTCAGATATTCAGCAGAGTGCCTGGCAGGGAAGGCCAAAGCATGTTCACCCAGCCCCCCATGATGCCACTCACAGCCATCTGTTGGGGATGCTTTAATTTCTGCACTGTGCAGGGGGTTGGGACTCAATATCTTAAATGGCCCCTTCCAGCTCTAGAATTCCATGATGCTACTGAAGATCCCTGGTTAGTTTTTGATGCAAGTAATAGCAGGAACCCAGAGCTCTGAAACAGAAGAGCAATTCCAACAGCCTGTTACCAGCTGTTTGGCAGGCTGCTGAGGGCCATGATGACACTGGGGAAATAGGACTTCCTGGCTACTTGCCAGTAGTTGATTGGTGGGCTGCCAGAAAGCATGGGTGGAGAAGACATCAGCAGCTAGCTGCATGAAGACCACTGGAATCCAGGGATTACCTGCTCCTGCTCTGCATCTTTTGAGCTAATGGGAGATTAGACTTTAAATCAGAGCTGAACCAGAAGTTCTTAGAAGGCATTTTTCTGAGAAAAAGGATGAGATTTGTCATTTTTTCACTCTCCCTCTATGTTATTTTACTTCATTCCCCTACACCCCACCCTCTTCTTTATTTCTCATTTCTTTTTCTAATGAACACTGTTCTGATCCTTTCTTGTTTGTCACTGGGCTCATTTTTTAAATGGGCTCTCTTGTTCTCTCCATCTGCCCCCCAATCTATGTTTTGTTCAGGATGGATATGCATCTGCTCTGTTCCAGCTTCTTGCTGGCCTTGGGCTCTTTCTTGAACTTGTGTGGATGAAAATATGGGGCTAAGTGTTGGACATTTCCTTGCACATATGTGAATGAAAAGATGGGACAAATTCAGGATCTTGGTGATGGGGCTGGGTGTGGGGAGCAGAAATTATTTCCAGAAGAATTTGTCCTCTTCTAATATGCCCTGGTCAGATTAATCTGGATCTTTGTATCAAATTCTGTGCACCACAGAAATGACATTTAAAAATTGGAAGAACTTGAGAGGAGGTCTACCAAGAAAGTGAAGGGAGTGAGGGGGAAAAAACCCTACAAGAAATGGTTTAGCATCTAGAAAAGATTGCTGAGTGGAGATATGATAGCAGTTTTCAAATAGATGTAAAATTGTCATCCAGGAAAGAAGGGGACTTACTCTTGATTGCCCCTGAGGCAGAACCATAACCAGTGTATTAGAATAACATGAAAAGACATTCAGGATAGACCTCAAGATGTTGGTGCATGTGTGGTGCATAATCCTTCACTAGAGGTCTTCAGATAATAGCTGAAGGGCTGTTTGTTGGAGATTCTGCAGTAAGTAAGGAGTTGGACCAGATCACTTCTAAGATCTTTTCCACCTCCATGATTCTATCAATTACCTGGCCTCAACATGTTTTGGGGGGTGGATCTGTAACATTCAGAATTGGCATGATCAAATGGATTGTTAATTGACACTCAAAGGAGTCAACTAAGCATTTAAAATGTAACTCAGAAAGCTTCCTCCATACTCCTTGTGCTGGGCTGCTCTCTTCAGTGGACAAAATAAATGGCAGAAACCTGCACTGATAAAGTACACAGTGAGAAGAAAACAGAGTGGGAGAACCCAAAAGAACATTCTGCTCTAGGGTTTCTCAGTGCCTTAAAATGAACATTCATTACATTTATTATTTAATATAAATTGAGCAAATGAAAGAATAGGGGCGTTCAATTAACTACATAAGGTTCTTGGTCATAAGGTCATAAGGAAATGACTTATTCTTCCAGTGAAATGGATCTTTCTACCTTATTTCACCATCCTCTTGCTTCAACCATTCTTCTCTTTACTATCCAGCTGTCAGTTTTGTTCTTATTTTTTAGTCAAAATTCCATGGCTAGTGATTCCTCACTGTGTCAGATTGGGGTTACCCATTTTAATATTTTTGTACACTTGCAACTTTGGAACTACTATGCCTCTCTTTCACAGAGAAATAACATAATGATTCCTATTTCCGCAAGTGAAAGAAATCTTACATCAGAAATGGAGATGAGGATGAGGATGATGATGAAGATGATGATGATGTAGTAGTATCCCCCTCTCATTCTAAGATCTAAGGTCTAAAGAACCCAGAAAGGAAGCTGACCTTGAAAAAGTGGTAGAAACTGAGAACCATATGATGACAAAGGATACTTGCTTGTCATGGAGAAGAGCATTTCTGTTAATAGAATAGCAGGAGCACATAAGAATATTACATAGGCTAATGTAAGCTTATATAAAGCGGGGGGGGGGGTCCCTTT